GCTGGGCCCGCAGCGGGGTCGGGGTCGGGCGGCGGCGCGGCCGGTGGGGAGTCGTGGTACCTGGCGTTGCTGGGCCTGGCCGAACACTTCCGTACGTCGAGCCCGCCCAAGGTGCGGCTCTGCGTGCACTGCCTGCAGGCCGTGCTGCCCCGCAAGCCCCCGGCCCGCATGGAGGCCCGCACCCACCTTCAGCTCGGCTCCGTCCTCTACCACCACACCCGCAACGGCGACCAGGCCCGCGGGCACCTGGAGAAGGCGGTGAGCCCTGGGGGGGTGTATGTGTGGAGGAGGAGTGGGGGGATGTGTGTGTGTGCGGAGGAGGAGGAGGGGAGGGTTGCTGGGGGGCCCTGTCAGTGGGGCTGGCCTGTGGTGGTTGCAGACTAACCCCCTGTCTTCTCTTGCAGTGGTTGATATCCCAGCAAGTATCCTTTTCCTGGCTGTCCGTTTGGGCAAGGAGCATCGCTGCCCGACCACCTTGCTCCTGCAGTGGGGGGCTTTGATAACAAAACACCTCTGCGGAGAGAGAGCCTGGCCCTGGGGATGGGGATTTAGCTGGTGTTTTTAATCTAATTCTGTGGTTGGGAGACGCTTTCCTAACATCTATGTTCTGTTAAGGGTTTTTGGTCATTGGGCTGTTGCTGTTTTCCAGACAGTGTTTAATATTTACTTAACTCTGATGCTGCTAGATTCCCCAGTTTGAAGATGTTAAGTTTGAGGCAGCCAGCCTTCTGTCTGAACTGTATTGTCAGGAGGTGAGTACACTGAGACTATTTCAGGTGTTGTCGGTTGTCCTGCTGCATTTAATTTGAGTGTCTTTGGTCTTGGAGTAGTTATCGCCATTAGTAATAGGATTTATGAAATTTTTAGAGGTCCGCTGCAATGTAAATGTAGAGTACTAAGGTGTAAGCCTGAAAGACTCTTGGCCTTTCTTATCGTGAAAGTTCCTGATGGAATTGCAATGCAGGTCTTCCACAGCAAAGGAAGTTTACTTGGCCAAACTATTTCTTTAGCCCTCATTTGGACAAAGACAAGCTAATTTGGGGGGAGGGAGGGAAGTGGATGGTTTTCCTCAGGCTTTTGTTGTGTTCCTAGTCTATTTTTATTCTTTTTCTCCGGAAGAGCCCTAACTAGTCTTTACTTTCTCTAAAGAAAATGTTTGCTTTTTCTCTCAAGTGCAGGCAAAAAGCGCACATTAGAATAGCGGCCAAAGAAGTTAAATAGCTAATAAATACTCTTGAACAGAGTTTTAGTCAAGTGTAGATGTGTGGGCCTGTGTGTTAAATACTTGGTTTTGTTGCTTTTCATGTTTTAAGGTTCCTGACCTGTGAGACTTTAATGGGGGATCAACACAGAATACAACTAGTTTAAAAGTTGTTATTGTTAGTGATGAAGTTCCCAGTAGCCTGGTTTTTTATGTTGTGCATGTTTCTGTTTCAGAATTCAGTGGATACAGCAAAACCTCTGTTACGCAAAGCCATTCAGATTTCACAGCAGACTCCGTACTGGCACTGTAGATTGCTTTTTCAACTTGCAGTAAGTGATTTATATTGATAACCATGTTATACTGTAGCACTGTGATTGGTAAAAATGGTTAGAAAACAGCTGTATCCTTCTTAAAAAGAGTTTGGATGCCTTCCCAACCCGTTATTGCTGTTAATGGAGAGACAAAAGAAAAGTTCATGCTATAAAGTAATGATATATTGGTGGACTGTGGATTGGGTCAAGGCCCACTTTTCACCTGCTGAAGGCAGATGGGGAAGAAAGCAGCAAGGATCATCCCGTGGGCACTAGTAACACACAACTTTAGAGGTGGAGCAAAATAAAATCCACCTTATGGCTTGCAGGAAGGGCAAATGTTTTCTTAAAGCCTGCTAGAATTGGAGTTTGCCAATGTGAAGTGTTCGTTTGATTATTTTCAACCTAATTAGCACACAGAGCAGAACTGGGATGGGAAAAGCAGGTGGTGCAAAGGCCTCCAAGCAATGTTACTCTTCCTGTTCTGTAATATGCTTGTAAGTGTGGCTTCAGCTGCACAGGTCAGACTGTCTTCGCTTCTAGGAATAAAGTGGTGCATGTTGGAATCTGAAGTGTTTAGCATTTGTTACAGTCTTTACTTCAGCTGTGTAACTACTCTTAAAAGTGCTGATTTTCCTCAGTGATCCAGTGCATTAGGCCAGGGAACATATCCAGAAAGTTAAGTGATCAGTGGGAAGAGCAGATTATTGCTGAATGACCCCCTATTTTTCCAGGTTATGCCTCTTCTCTGCTCCTAAAGAGGCTTGAGGTGTTTAACCTGAGAGTTGAGGGGGTTAATTGCTCTTTACAGGTACTCTGCAGCAGAAAGCTAGTTAGGAAGCAATTTTATATTTGAAGACTGTCTTAATAGTCACCTGTACTTGTCTTTTCCCCCTTCCTGATGAGCTTAAACAAGCAGACCAACTTTGTTGAAAAGGAATTGCCAAGCTCCTTTGTGTAGTTTCGGAACAGTGAACTGTGGAGAGACTTGCTTTCCTATCGATTAAAGGACAAATGTTTACTTTGCAATGAGTTAATGCCTGAGTACTCAGAAGAAGCTTAAGTGTTTTTCTCAGTGCCTTCCTCTGAATAGGATCCTTCCCTCGAAGCTTGACATTCTTCCCTGATTTCTCTTCTGTGTGGTATTTCCTTTCTGGCTTTTGCTTGACCACAGAGGCCTGTGTCTCTCATTGCTTTGGTGCCTGTTCTGCTACAACTGTGTGGCTTTCTACCTGAGTTTGGAGAAAGTACAAAAGTTGGCAGGCAGGAGGGAGTGAGAGGTGCTCTGGCAGCTGCATAATCTTCTCCCTGTCACCTGAAACATACCTTGCAGACTTTCTCTGCTCTTCTTGCTGGAAAACAAACTGTTATTCCAGTTACTCCAATGTAACAGTCCACGGTTATATTGGATCTGATCTGCACGTGATCTTAATGAGTTATAACAGCTTTGTGTGGTATGAAACTGGGCTGAGACATTTTCTTTGAAATGTTACAGACTTTTTTTTTTTTGGAGAATGCCAGGTGTTCCTGGAAAATGTGTCTAAAATCAGATGATAAATTTAACAAGTACCAGTTTAGCCCTTGTCACGTGTAAAGCACAGGAGTAATTACATTTTTAAAAACTGCAAATGAGTTTCACAAAGAAAATGCCAAACTCTTGTGGCCTTTTTTCATTTCAGCAACTACATACACTTGAAAAAGACTTAGTATCTGCATGTGACCTTCTCGGAGTTGGAGCAGAATATGCTCGGGTGGTAGGATCAGAGTATACCAGGTGAGTTCCCTGGACTTTTTTCCCTTCTCACAGAAAATATTTTGGTTTCGTCTACTTTTTATTTAGAGATATTCTGGTTTTATATGGAAATGTGATTGCTACATGGGTTTTAAAGGCAAACCAGTATTTCTGAGTATTCTCTTAGATCTGAGAGTTTCTCCAGTTCTTTCCTTTTTCTGTTAAAACCAATAATGTCCACTAAGCTCTGCAGAGTCTTTTTTCAAACTGAACTTTGTTTATTGTCTTATTCAGCAAAAGTTTTCGCAGTAGCCTGGTTTGGCCTTAGAAGCTATTGTAACTGGAACTGTCCAAAGCTTGGCTACAAACCTGAGAGGCTGGGATTTTGATTCCTGGGGCTATGATTGAACTGTTCCATCCAGCTTTTAAATGTGCTTTCTGTGGCAGGTTCCTTAATACTCTCTTGTCTATTGTCTTTGAGGGGGAGAACAGCAGATTTCCCCCCCCCCCCCCCAGGTTTTTTGTATTTATTTGTGGTTTGGGTAACTTTTTTCTGAGCATGACATCATTTTGTTTCATTTCAGAGCACTGTTTCTGCTAAGCAAGGGGATGGTAAGTTGGATGTACTTTTAAAATAAACTATTTACTTGTTTAACTAGTTGTGGTTTAACCCCAGCCAGCAACTAAGCACTGTGCAGCTGCTCACTCACTCCCCCCCACCCAGTGAAATGGGGGAGAGAATCGGGAAAAAAAAAGTAAAACTTGTGGGTTGAGATAAGAACAGTTTAATAGAATGGAAAGGAGGAAAATAATAATGATAATAATGACAATAATAATAATAAAATAATTGGAATATACAAAACAAGTGGTGCACAATGCAATTGGTCACCATTCACTGGCCGATGCCCAGTTAGCTCCTGAGCAGTGATTCCCCTGTCCCGGCCAACTCCCCCCAGTTTATATACTGGGTGTGACATCACATGGTATGGAATATCCCTTTGCCCAATTTGGGTCAGCTGTCCTGGCTGTGTCCCCTCCCAGGTTCTTGCTGGCTGGGCATGAGAAGCTGACAAATCCTTGACTTAATATAAACGCTACTTAGCAACAACTGAAAACATCGGTGTGTTATCTACATTATTCTCATACTGAATCCAAAATGTAACACTATACCGGCTACTAGAAGGAAAAGTAACTCTATC